AACTCACAGAGATCCGCCTACCTCTGCCTCCCGAGTCCTGGAATTAAAGGCGCCACCAACACCCTGTTCTCAGTCTGTTCTTAAGGCTATTTTCTGATTCAAGTTGCCTTTTAACTTCAACCATATTAAAATCTGGGAGATCTTGCCGGGCGTTGGTGGCGCACGCCTTTAATCCCAGCACTCGGGAGGCAGAGGCAGGCGGATCTCTGTGAGTTTGAGGCCAGCCTGGTATCCAGAGCGAGCGCCAGGATAGACTCCAAAGTCACAGAGAAACCCTGTCTCGAAAAACCAAAGGAAAAAAAAAAATCTGGGAGATCTTTATCCCTCTTAGTTATCTGCTTAGTAATGCTGAAAACTCCGAAGAGTAGGATTGCCAACAACTGGGAGGCAACTTTATGTAGAGGCTGAAGTCAAGGACACAGCTACCACTCTGAAATTTGTCAGTTCACTCCATTAGAATGGTCTACTAGAAGTGGACAACAGTAAATATATTCTAGATCTCTGGAGAAAGAAGCCTTTCTAAGCTTAGAGAAACAGAACTCCCAAAGATCTGATAAACTGGGTGCTCGTGGGAACTTGGCATTCAAGTACAGACTCTGCTCATAACAGAGAGAACCTGTAGAGACATGAGATATATATTCATGTACACTGGGCCCCCCAATTCAGGATCATACAGAGGCCAAACAAGGCTCATGCTGAAATCAAGACCAGACACTGAGACCCCAATGAAGGAAGCTGGAGCAGAGAGATGGGAATGGAACAAATATGTTGAGAAACGGGCAAGAAATCAAGGCTTTAGTGCAGATTGGCTAGCTTGCAGCATTTGGTTTCTGGAGAAATAGTCTATCATCACAGTAACTCCCCACACCCATTTAGTATAGCTAACATGAGTGGGTTTATGTTTCTTTGTACAAAGCTCCTTACTTTAACTCCTTTGGATCTTTGAAGTTGATAGTTGCAGATTTTTAGAATGATGGAGGAATTTGTACATTACTCTTCATTCCTACCAAGGTCTGGCACAGACAATACTGGTTAGATTAATATTCCTGTTGTGAATATATGAATATTCAGCCTCCTGAGAAAACTAAAACCCCAAGAAGCTTCACCCAGGTCAGGTTCTGAGGCCAAACAAGTTCAGGACAGATAAGCCCAGAATCAGAGCTCTCTGAATTTTAGAAATACAGATAAGTAACTACGGATGTATATAATGTGACAACTCTACCCACTGCAGAAGTCAAGGCTGTCTGTGTAGCCCAGACTAAAGTGTTTGTTACTTTGGAGAAAGATGAGGGGATTGTCAATATGTTGTATTTTAAATTATGAGAATTAGAGATACCTTGTCTTATGTTATTTTTTTTGTTATACAACACTACAATCAGTACACAGAATAGATTTTTTTAAAATTTAAGCTTCACAATTTTCTTCAGAGAACTGCCAATGCATGTCTTACTTTTTTTGACAATGAGCAGATATTGTTGAATCCACCTTTAAAGTGCTTTCTCTTTTACTGTTTTTTACATAAATACAAAATTTATGGTACATATTATTATTCAAATGCATGTAACATAGCATACCTCTGAATTCAGGTGTGAAATGAAGAGTCTGAAGAAGGGAATTGAGGTAACAGGTTCCACCCTGATTTCTGATTCCACTTAAATTGGTGAATTCTCTAGGGGCAGGTGGCTCCAAACCTTTAGTCTTTAATTTCTTCCCTTTTCCATACTGACTATTTGACACACTGGAATAATCCTCTTCAAACAGGTTCCCAAACATTGTGGAACCAAACACTATCCTTTAAAGAAAATGACATGTTACATAAAAGCTTTTATTTTTTAAATGAACCCCATCCCCAAAGCCTTTTTTATATTTGAGGGCAATTGTTTTGTTAAATTACTCTTCAGAAATTATAGTAGTTTGTGTTTTGGAGACAGCAAGATCTGACGTCTCTTTCATACCTACAGGGGTCTTTATTTAACCTCTGGCCAAGAAATGTAGCTAATATTAACTTCTATGTAAAATGTGGCTGCGTATTTTTTTTTTTAGGGTAGTTTAACCAGTCGTGTTACAAAAGGAACTAAGTATAAAGGGCATGGCCCACAGGAACAGATAGCTAGTCTTGGATTCCACATTACTAAATGAAAAAAATGAGGTGACAACAGCCTTGGGAGCATCAATAACTCTGAAATCTCAGCTTCTCCCACCTCTTCATATATCACACCACAGTGTCTCAGGGAATTAAAACCTATCAGATTAATCTTCTTGACAGTAGTTTCATCAGTTTGGCCCCAAACTAGAGAGCCTGGAGTAAGTACCCGAAGGAAGAAAGAGTCTGGCCATTAGAGCTATGGAGTCCAGTGGCTTTCCAAGACCTCCAAGTACCCAACCTTGGTACTGGGAGCTGCGAGAATCTGCTGCTTCTCGTGTAGTGGAGGGGAAACTGAGGTGAAACGCTGAGGCCAGCGTTTCTAAGGGACGGGGACTGCCGAAATGCAGTTCTTTCCTTTTCAACCCAGTCCTCTGAAGAAAAACTCAAGAAATGCAACTCGCGAGGCAGGCCTCGAGCTCGCGAGCTGGCTTCCCGTCATGCCATTCCACAGAGGCCTTCCCGCCCACCAAGGCGCCCAGGGCCCAGGAGCGCGACCAGGCGCGCGTCCCCGCGGCCCGACCCCTGACGCGCTGCCAGGAGTCGCCGGGCGTCTTGCCTCAAGCCGCCGGCGTCGTCCCTACGCTGCCCTCGTCCCTCCCTGCGCCCCCATTCCCCAGCCCCACTTACTGCCTATAGCCCAGACCCCCGCCCCGGCCACAGCACAGAGTAAACGAACTCGCTCCGAACGGGTACCGCCATGCCGGCGAGGGCGGGTCTCTGGAAAGTGATTCACACCCCCCAACGAGAACTACATTTCCCAGGATGCTTCGCGCCACGCGGAGATTTATGGGCAACGTAGTTGCGTAGCTAAAGAGATTGTGGGTGGGGCAGCGAGGCTTTGTTTATTTTCCAGTCACCTTGCGTGTTTATGTTTATTACTACCTAAAAATTAAATACTAACGGGTTGGGGTTAAATGTTCCTAGAGCTTTCACTAATTAAGTGAATGTGTATTTATATATTTTCTGCTCTAGGTTATAAAAGGGACCTTAAAACCGTTTTTCCTCCAAGCATATATTCAATACAAAACTTGTGAAAATGTTCTACTTTCCGTGAACCTTACATCGTCCTCAATATTTATTTATTTAATATCTATCAACCTTAAGTAGTTTATGTATAAGCATGCAAGCATGTGTGCTTCAAAATGATCTACCCCGCCTGGGCACTTGGATGGGCTACTTTCATCCTCTGTATAAGCGCCACTCATATCTTCCTTGTCATCCAAACTATCAGGACATGAATGAAAGAAACAGGGAAAATCTAATTTTGATTTCAGCTGAGAATCTGAGAGCTGGAGAACAGGAATGGGAGAGGAACAAGAGGTCCGGGCCAGGAAATGGACAGGGAGAACACACAGCTCTGAGTACTCCAGTCTGAGGCCTGTTTGTTTTTAACAACCTCCTCTTCACTTTTCTTTCCTGCCTGCATCGATTCCTGTCCTCTTGTCTGTTGACTGCTCTGCCTCCCCTAATCATACTTCATCTGCCTCTTTAAAATTGTACATATACCTCAAACTTTTATTCCCTGACCCCAAACCAAACACTGCACGTAAGGTACCATCCACAGATACAGGAGGCCTTACTGTTGCAGGATATTTGATCACATTGTGAAACCTGAGATTGCATTGTCTACTGGAAAAACCTGTTTCTAGTTGTGGTATGGCTCAGCCCTAGCACACACTTTTTTAAAAAAAGCAAACAAATATATATATGGTTGTTTATTTTATATCCCAGTGGCAGTTTCCTCTTCTCCTCCCAGTCCCACCACCACCACCCAGCACACACCTTTAATCCAAGAGCTTTCTGCTTGAATATTGTAAACAGAATTAAATAAAGTCAACCATTGGTTAAGCAATGATCGAGCAACCAGTTGACAGGAAGTGAACATAAAAAAAACAGAGTACCAGAGAGTCGTGATGATGGATAGAGAAACTGATGGGACAGTCAGTTTGAGATTTTGTTTTTGCTGTTGTTAGACCCCCAGAAAGCTCAGGCCTCCGGGGTCTCAGCCCCGGCCCACGGTCACCCCAATCACCAGGCCAATTCGAAAGCTTGATGTAAACAGCATGAGGCTTTATTGTTGTTTAACGAGCTAACATGGGTCTTTCATTCACCCACCATGGCGGATGGCTAGAAAAGACGCTTCGAAGCGTCTGCATAGAGATCTTGTAGGGCAGCGTAAGGGGAGTGTCTAGGGGTACGCACAGGCTCAGGATTGGTGTGCCTACAGGCTTGGAGGGGTTGCCCTGTGTTGATTGGCCAATTGGTTGTTATGGCTCATAGGCCCTCCCAGGGGGGGTGCTATGCTCTTCGAGTGATTGCTGTGCGCTTGTCCGTAAAGCACACCCAGAGCCGTAAAGCATAGCACCACCAGCTACCTTCTGATTGGTTCCTTGCCACGAGGCAGGCATCTGACCTCTAGTGACCAAGGCAAGGTCAGAAAAGCATGTGCTACCGTCATGGCTGCCCAAAGGGGCAGGCATCTGACCTTAGTGACTAAGACAAGGTCAGACAAATACGTGTTCGGCTGTTATGGCTGCCGAAATGGGGAGCTGGTCCCTTCACTGTTTGTTTGTTTGTTTGAGATGGCAGAAGATAGGAGTTCTTTCTGGGACGTCAGGGGGTTGTAGAGGAAGTTCAGCTGGGTGTTTTCTCTGTCTCTCTTAGCTACCAGGACTTCATCCAGCATCTGGCTCCCAAGTCTTTATTGATAAAAATCAAATGATTGAGATTTTGTTAAGAACAACACCTCACCTTCTAGGCAGCTATATCCCCATGTGTCCATGAGCTTGTTAGTTTATTTGTTTTGTTTTGCTGATTTTTGTGTTTTGTTTTATTTGTAAACTTGATTCAGGCTTGGGTCATGTGGAAAGAGGGAACCAATATTGAGAAATGCCTCTATAAGATTGGTGTGTAGGCAAGTGGGGGAGCATTTTCTTGATTAATGATTGATGTGGGAGGACCCAGCCCACTATGGGCAGTGCCACCTTTGGGAAGTTGGTCCTGGCTTATATAATAATCAAACTGAGTGAGCCACACAGAACAAACCAGTAAGTGGGGTTCCTCCATGGCCTCTGCTGCAGTTCCTGACTCAAGGTCCCTGTCCCGACTTTCCTTTGTGATGAACTGTAAGCTGTATGAAATAAACCCTCTCCTCCCCAAGTTGCTTTTAGTTATCACTTCAATAGAAAGTAAACTAGGACACCTCAGCAAACTTCTCAGTGCCCAGCCCATTAGTTCTTAATATTAATTGAATAAAAGAATGGGCCATATTAGTGGGAGGGTGGAACACAGTGGTGATGAGAGCAATGTAGCTTATGATGGCCCTGCTTCTAAATTCTTGTCACAAAATCAGTTAGCCACAGTAATGGCCCCACTTCTTGATACCAATTTTTGAATTAGTAAGTTTTCTCATTGTGGTTAGCCAAAGTTACTTAAGGAAAGTACAGTTTCTTTTTTGCTCCTAGTCGGAGAGATAGTCCATCATGATGGAAAAAAAACATAAAAAGCAACTCTAGTTGTGGTGGCAGAAATGTGAGACAGCTAGCCCACACTGTGTCTGCAATCAGGAATTAGGGAAAGATGAATGCTGGTGTTCAGCTCACTTTCAGTCCCAAATCCCAGCCCATTTGAAGGTGTCACATGCATTCAGAGTCAGGGGTGGGGGGAGTTGCTTGTGGTGATATTTTGTTTGTGCTCTAACAGATAAAGCTTGCCTGAAGATCAGAGGGTAAAGCTACCCACTAGTTAACCATAGAGGTCAGGCAGTGGTGGCACGTACCTTTAATCCCAGCACTTGGGAGGTGGAAGCAGGAAGATCAGGAGTTCAAGGCCACACTGGGCTACATGAGATTTAACTAGTCTAAAGAGAACTAGAGCTCACACCTTTGATCCCAGTACTTGGGAGGTACATGTCTTTAATCTCAGCACTAGGGAGACAGAGATAGGAATATATGATGGGTGGAGATAGATTCTCTTGCCCATCCAGTCTGAGGATTCGTAGAGACAGGAGCTCAGTCCCTTTTTGGTCTGAGAACTCTAGTTGCTGGCTGCTCTGCTTGTCTGATCTTTCAGCTTTCACCCCCTAATGGCTGACTCTGGGTTTTTATTATTAAGACCAATTAGAATTTTAGATACACTTCCTTCCTAGTTAAACCTTTCTGGAAATACCCTTGAAGACACATCCAAAGGCATATTTCCATGGTGATTTTAAAAATCCAGCTAAGTGGAAAATCAAAATGAACCATTATAGCAGATGATTCTTTCGATGTGTTGTTGAATTTTTATTTCATTAGGGAGGATTGCATTTATGTGCACCAAGAATATGGACCTTTAATTTTCTGTTTCTTCTGAGTTGGTATCAGTATAATGAAAGGTGCTTGAAAGTATTTTCTCTATTTATTTATTTATTTATTTATTTATTTGGAGGAGCTTGAAAATGGCTCATGGTTTCTTCCTTCTGGGTCAGCACACAGAGGCTGATCAACATGGTTCAAAGAGGTCAGGCTACATCTTGAGCTGAGAGCACAACTTGACAACATTGTCCCCAAGGTAGTGTTTTTTTGTTTGTTTGATTGATTTTTTTTGTTTGCTTTTGGAAAGAAAAGTACAAGAGTGAGGACCCTAGAGGTTTGTACTAAGGTTCAAGAAAGCTGCTGAGGCCAGGCAAGATACAGCAGGGTTATATTTTCTGTTTGGAGGCTCTGAGAGTCTATTGCATGGAGTTATGATGATGAAGCCCAAGCTGCAGTAGAGACCATAGGGTAAATTCAAGTAGGGTATTGGAACCCCACTAAATTTTTTCTCCCTGGAAGCTTAAGTATCAGTCTTCATCTTCCACCTCTTTTGTGACAGGACATTTCATTGTTTCCTGCTGCATATGCCAGGTATCCTAGTTACTGTTATATTGTTGTTATATTGCCATGAAGAGACACCATGACCACGGCAACTTATAAAAGAAAGCATTTAATTGGAGACTTGCTTACTGTTTCAGGGAGTTAGTCCATGACTGTCATGGTGTGGAACAGAGTAACATGCAAGCAGGAATAGTGCTGCAGTAGTAGTTGAGAGCTTCCATCTTATCCACAAACATTCAGTAGAGAGAGAGAGAGGGGCAGGGGACTGGGCCTGGCATGGGCTTTTGAAAACTCAAAACCCACCCCCCAGTGGTACACCTCCTCCAAACAGGCCACACTTCCTAATATACTTCGAAATAGTCTATCAACTAGGAACCAAGCATTCAAATATATGAACCCATAGGGGTCATTTTTATTCAGACCTAAGCAATATCTTAATTGGTCTTATCAATAAAAACTCAGAGTCAGATATTAAGGTAAATGCTGAAAGGTCAGAGAAGCAAAGGGGCATCCAACAGTCACTTTTTACCTCTCTGAATCCTGAGACTGAAAGGGCTAAGATCCTGTCTACGTCCCACCTAATCACTTCCTCTCTCCTCCCCATGTTGTCACTTCCTGTCTCCTCTCTGTACAGACCTCCAGATCTCTAGGGTTAACTAGTGGCTGGATCCACCCTTTGATCTCAAAGCAAGCTTTGTTTGTCATAACACAAACAAAATATCACAACAAAAACCACTACACCAGGCTAGCTGTCCTGTGAGCTTCCGGGGAATTCTCTGTGTCTGCCTCTGACCTTGCTATAAACACATTGGAATGACCTCTGTGTCTGCCTCTGACCTTGCTATAAACACATTGGAATGACAGATGTGCACTAGCCGATCTTGCTAGGTAGATTTTGGAGAGCCTACATTGGTCCTTACAGCTACAACTATTTTTCCAACTGACGCATCTCTCCAGGCATGCAGTTGGCTTTGAAAAACTAAAGGATGCCATGAGCCTCTTCATTATCCTCTGAAACATAGTCCCATTCCATCACCTTCCTTCTCTTTCTGGGGTCAACTCACTACATGTGGCTATATCCAAAAGCTGCCTGTTCTCTTGGGTTGGCTCACTTTCTGTGCTCTCTCTCCAGTTTTGGGGACCCAACTTTCCACTGCCCCTTTTCTCACACGTTAGTTCTCTCTCTAGAGTCTCCTATACATTTGTCCAACCCACTGTATTTTTCTGTTCTTCCATGGCTACTTGTCCAATCCTTTTGATTTCTCTTGCACAATGAATTTTAAAGGCTATATCCACCAACTGAGATGTATTCACTCCTATAGCCCCTTCTAACTTTTAGATTTTCTTGTGACTCATTATCCTACAAAATTCATGGTAACCATTCTCACATTTTCTGGGGTCTTTGGGTCAATATCCATGCATTTTTGATATTCTAGAGAAATTCTTTTTAAAAATTCTGGGGATCCTTGTTTGGATGTTGGTGGGCTTTTTGTATTTTATTTTAACTCCTCTTCTTGGGAAATCCTTTACCAGTTTCTTCGAAGTGTGCTGTCTATACTGATCCAATTTACCCACTTCTGCATTGTTAGAATTTTAGCAGGGTTCAAATGCTGGAAAAGCCTTTGTTGGCAGGGGTTCTGAATGTCGTCTTCTTGATGGAGAGGCATCGTGATTCTTTAGTAGCCTTGTCTACCACTAATCTTTTCTGTGATTAATAAAATATTTAATAAGGTCTTGAATGTCTGACCAGGATTAATGAGGAACAAAAATGGATGACTATCAAGTCCAGTGCACCAGGTATGCCCACAGAATATTATTTTAAATAGAGGATAGTCTCAGACCATTTAATTCCTGTAATAGTCCACGTAGGCGAGTTTTCAATTTTAACATAGCCCTGTAGAGAGGATTGTGTCAGGAAAAGGAAGAGGACTTCTGCTGCAAACAGACCAGAACATGCAGCAGTGCCTATCCATGGCAGAGTTGCTTGGGACAAAGAATTCCCCTGTCAGCCAGGTCAGGAAGAACCATCTCCCAGTGCTTCCTTGGAAGAAGTTTGCCAACTTGTTTCTGAGCAGAGTTTTCATCACTCCGAGCACACAATTGCTTCTGGAAAACCTCCAAAAAGGCAATGTCTCTTCACATTTCCTTTCACTTTAATCTTCCTGAGCTCTCAATGTCCAAGGTCATTGATTAAAATTCTGCTTCATTACTTACATTGCACACCATGATTCTCTCCATAGCTAAGAGCATATGCTAGTCTTATAGGGGAACATGCATTTCAGTAGTTGCTCTCCATTAATCATTGATCTTCTGAGTTCAATTACTGACAGTGGCTATGATATTTTTACTCATATGTAAATCACTTCCGTGGGAGGGCATTTGTGCCTGTATTCTCCACTTGTGTAACAAGAGCCCAGAGCCTCAGCAGCTGGATTCCCCCGGGCTCTGCTTCGCCCATGGCTCCCGCAGGTTCTCCAGCATTCCTTCCTCTGTGTGTGTGTCTGCTGCTGGCCTCTGGCTTTGCCCAGGCAGGCAGGCTGCTGGTGGTCCCCATGGATGGGAGCCACTGGTTCACCATGCAGATGGTTGTGGAGAAACTCGTTCACAAAGGACATGAGGTGGTGGCAGTTGTGCCAGCGGTGAGTTGGCAATTGGGACAGTCCCTGAATTTGACAGTGAAGACATACTCAACGTCTCACACTCTGAAAGATTTGAACCATGAGTTCAAGGTTTTTATGGGTTCTCACTGGAAAACTCAGGAGAGCAGCATATTTTCTTTATTGCAACATTCATCCAGTGGTTTTTTTGAATTGTGTTTTTCACACTGTAGGAGTCTGTTTAGTGACAAGAAGTTAGTGGAGTACTTGAAGCAGAGTTCTTTTGATGCTGTGTTTCTGGATCCTTTCGATGTGTGCGGCTTAACTGTTGCCAAGTACTTGTCACTCCCATCAGTGGTCTTCAGCAGGGGAATGTTTTGTCACTATCTTGAAGAGGGTGCCCAGTGCCCCAGCCCTCCTTCTTATGTTCCCAGAATTCTCTTGAAACTCACAGACACCATGACTTTCACGGAGAGAGTCTGGAACCACCTCACCTACATGACGGAACGTGCATTTTGCCCCTATTTTTTCAAAACGGCTGTAGAAATTGCCTCTGAAGTTCTCCAGACACCAGTGACTATGGATGACCTCGTCAGTCAAGTGTCCATTTGGTTGTTAAGGACTGATTTTGTCTTGGAGTTCCCCAGACCTCTGATGCCCAACATGGTATTGATTGGCGGGATCAACTGCCACCAGGGAAAGCCACTTTCCAA